ACCACTATTTCCAAATGTTTCCATCACCCTCAAAGAAACTGAACAATTAAGCAATAGTTTGTCATTTCTTTCCCTAAACCCTTGATAATCTCTAATCTACTTTCACCCATTCTGTCATTTAAATGCAATATTTGTTCTTGTATATTAGAACTTCTTTCACGTAGCATAGTGTTACAAGGACTAAGATGGGGCACCTGTCAAAACATACTCTTTCTTTTCCTTCTTTCCTTCCTTCCTTCCTTCCTTCTTCCCCCCTCTCTATTTCTCTCTCTCTCTCTCTGAGCTGTGTAACAGGCTGGTCTTGAATTCAGGATTCTTCTGCCTCAGCCTCCTAAATGTTGGGATTACAGGCATGTACCAATATATATATCCTGTTCAAAGCTTACCTAAAAAAAAAATTCAATTTGTAGTTGTTGATTCCACTTTTTGATTGTTGTAAGTAATGTCAATATGACATAGGGGCACAAATAAGTATCTGTTTGAGTCCTTGTTTTCAATTCTTTATAGCTATTTAGGTATGGACTTGCTGGGTCATATGGTAATTCTATGTTTAGCTTTTTTTTGTTGTTGTTGTTGGTAGTAGGTCTTGAACTCTGGGCCTTGCACTTTTCCTGAGCTCTTCAGTTAAAGGAGAGCGCTTTACCACTTGAGCCACAATGCCACTTCTGGTTTTCTTGTGGTTTATTGGAGATAAGAGTTTCAGAGAGCCGGGCGCTGGTGGCTCACGCCTGTAATCCTAGCTACTCAGGAGGCTGAGATCTGAGGATCGCGGTTCAAAGCCAGCCCGGGCAGGAGAGACCGTGAGACTCCTATCTCCAATAAACCACCAGAAAACCGGAAGTGGCGCTGTAGCTCAAGTGGTAGAGCGCTCGCCTTGAGCTGAAGAGCTGAGGGACAGCACCCAGGCCCAGAGTTCAAGCCCCACGACCGACAAAAAAAAAAAAAAAAAAAAAAAGAGTTTCAGAGACATTCCTGCCCCAGCTGGTTTTGAACCATGATCCTCAGATCTTAGCCTCCTGAGTAACTAGGATTACAGGCGTGAGCCACTGGCACCCAGTTCTATGTTTAACTTTTTGTGAAATTTCTCTTTATCATTTGCAGCTTGTTCCATTTTACATTCCCACCAGCAAGCACATGGTTACAATTTCTCCACTTCCATGAACACATTGTTTTACATAGTTTGTTTAATATAAAGGGTTATCTTTATGTGGTTGATTCTGATTCTTTTATTCTTTCCTAAAACTCTGAAGCTCTTTGGGGGTCACTAATCTGGCAAGGGCTTTATAATGACCTGTCTTGATACTTTACCCAAGTGCTTGCTTTCCACATACTCAGCAAATTTCTGGTGGAGGATCAATTTGAATTTCCAGTGTTTACCACCTGGTAGGTGTTCAATAAATAGATTGCATTAAAGGTTGCTGACCTTTTGTCTCTTACATTGTAAACACCCAGTAGAAGCATCCAACAGGCTCCTAAGACATTTTTGCTGGCTTCAAATGAATGCATTTTCATATCTGTGTGAGGCAAATTGGTGGATTATATTTGCAGTGTGAACGTGATTCCTGACATCCCTTTACTCTGCTCCCTTGGCTTATTCTGTTGCATTTTAGGGAGGGGTCCAGGTCACTCATATGGTCTACAGTGCCCTGTTAGTTCTAGCCTTGGTTTTATTGTTTTAGTTTTTGCCACTTTTTTTTTCTTTCTCTCAGGCTTCTGATTACCTGCATAAACCTCACCCTGTTTTAGTGCCATTTGTACCTAAGACTCCTACTTTCAGGAATTCTCCCCTTCTCTAAACAAGTCCCCTTCTCACTTTTTGGCCTAAGTGCAACTCATCCGCTGGTCTCAGGGGAAATAGCTTTTCCTCAGGAAATGTTCCCTGACTCTCTCCCCACCCCAACTCCTTCAGAACATCTTTTATTTTTTCTGCCTACCACCTATTGAAATTGTAGTACAATAGTTATTTATTTGGAGCTTACCTTCCAAGTAGTCAGCAAGCTCCAGGAAGGAGGGAACTTTGGTCCATGTTGGGTGTTAGGAACATAGTTGGCATTCGATATATATTTATGAAGTTTCTGCCAAGGAGTAGGAAAGCTGCTAACTGACCTATGAAAGCTGCTCATATTTTGGATGAGTCAATTTATGGTACTTTGGGTAAAACACTTTCAATCAGATGATAGGACAACTGTGTGGGTGCTTGAACAGGAAGTGTGGGAAGAGCTCATTGAAGGCCACAGAGCGGGTGGCTGCCTTCATTAAGGAGTGCCTGCTTCTTCAGTTAATGTGAAGTCAGAGATCCCAAGTAATCCCTTCCGGGGTTCCTCAGCCTTTCTAGACTTTTGTTAGAAGGTTGATTCATAAATGGTCATGGCTGGTCTTATTTCTAAAAGTCATGACATCAAAATGTTCTTTTTGCTTTTCTATTTGAAAGAATTGGCTGTCAGTTACAAAAGCAACACAGGTTACATTTATCTTCTGTAACTTTAAAACTAAAGCAGCACTCTTTTTGAACAATACTTCTAATCCTTGTTGCTATAGTTTTGATTTTATATGTCCTCCCAAAGCTCACGTACTGAAAGTTCAGTCCCCAACAGATCAGAGTTCAGAGGTGGAGACTTTAGAGGGTGATTAGATCATGAAGGCTTTGACCTTATGAATGTATTAATCTACTTATGGGTTCATAAATTAATGTGTTTTGGAGGAGCTCTTTGTTATAAAAAGTGAGCTTGTTCTCTTTGCTTCCTGGTGAGCAGCTTTACCATGCCATAATGCTCTACCTCACCACTGATCCAACTATCCATGGTGGTACATATAGATAAGGTCACACTTTAAAAATTCTCTGTAGGCTTTTTTCCCTACCGGAACAGGGCTTGAAATCAGGGCTTGGGCTCTGTCCCTCAGCTTTTTCACTCAAGGCTGACACTCTACCACTTGGGCCACAACTTTGTTTCCAGACTTTTGGTGGTTAAATGGAGATAGTTTCATGGACTTTCCTGCTTGGGCTGGCTTTGAATCATGATCCTCAGATCTCAGCATTTTGAGTAGCTAGGATTACAGGTGTGAGCCAGTGACACCCATCTGGGAACAAATTTCTTGATTATAAAAGTAATACAAATGAGGTAGAAAATTAATAGAGAAGTATACAGAAAAAACACCTTGTCTTATAACTCAGACAAAACCATTGTTAAACATAGTTACATATTTCCTTCTAATGTTTTGTGTGCGCTCATATTTTTATTTTTACAGTTGAGAATACATTGTATGTGCCCCACAAATTTACCCTAATACCAGTATCTAGACACAAACCCTAGCCTTTTAAAAATATACATTGTTTAAAGGTATATTCTAAAGGTATATTCATGCATATTCTGAAAAATCTAGTATGTGAGAGCCCCAAATACTTTCCTCAGTTGACCTGATCTGAAGTTGGCTCAAAAACACAGGAGTGGGTAAGGAATGGAGTAGAGAACTTTCTAAAAAGATTTGACAGTTTTAAGTTGACTGCAAGCTCTATTAGTCATGTAAATATTAAGAACTTTTTTGTTTGGTTTCCTTCATATCTTCCTTCTTTTAATCTCTCTCCCTCCATCCCTGTGTCTTTTCCCTCTCTCCCCTCTCCATTGCCCAAGCTGACTTTAAGCTCTGGGCTCCAGAGATCCTCTTGCCTGCTTCACCTTCTCTAGTAGCAAGGACTACAGATGCACCCACACCTAGCATGAGTCAAGAACTTACTGCAGGAGTGCAAGGCAGGAAGTCTTAGAAAGATATAGTCCTGCTTCACAAGTTACCACAACTCTTGGCTTCAACTTGGGTAACATGGAGGAAAGGAGTCACAGATCCTCACAGATCTGTGACAAAGGCCCTCAGAAGTAGGGCAAAGAAGAAACAATGGAAGGACTGTGAAGAGTACTGATCTCAAGGAAAAAACCTTGGGTGAAGTCTAAAATTCAAGAGAGATTAGACCAGTTCGCTGAGATTTCAAGAGTTAGAACTAGGGCCCCAAGAATGTAATTTCAAAAACACTAAGTATAGACAGGTACCAGTGGCTCATGTCTGTAATCCTAATAACTAATAAAACTAATAAAAACTAATAACTCAGGAGGCTGAGACCTGGAAGATAGAGGTTGGAATCCAGCCCAAGCAGAAAAGTATGAAAAACCCCATCTCCAATTAGTCAGCTTACAAAAAAATGCCAGGTTGGTTGGAGGCATGGCTTATGTGGTAGAGAGCCAATTGTGAGCAAGAAAGCCCAGGGAGAGTGTGAAGCCACACACACACACACACACACACACACACACACACACAGCTGCCCAGACCAAGTAATACAGTGATTTCTATTTCTTAGAGGGTCTTGTCAGGGTGGGTGATAGGAGTGGAAGGATGAATGTAAGTACTACCATTTATTGTTTGCTATACAGTCTTAGCTATATTATTTCACCTTGTCCATATCATTATCCATCCTTTCGTTATAGAAGGATTTGGATGGAATGAGGCTGGGTACCTTACCCAAGGGTATATATAAGTACTGGCACTGCCATTCGAATCTTCAAATAAACTCCAAAATCAGTGCTTCCAGTTACTAAGGCTATTTAAGCGTGCTACAGTAGTCTGGGACCAGAGAGGCCCTTGAGATTCCTTTGCTTAGAAGATTATGTGACTGAGAAGAATGTTACCCAGTCTGGTGGGCGGGGCCGAGGTGCAGAGGGTCGCTGGGGCTCTGCAGAGGGGTGCACACAAAACATCCAGGGATAGAGCCGTAAAGGGAGCAAGTTATCAACGTGAGTCACTCCACATCCAAGCAACACAGGTATCCTGACGTTAGACCTGCTGGAATGGTAAAGCCTCCCTCTCCCCTCCCCCCCTGCTCAGATCTCTCTGCTTGGTTTCCAAAACGCTGCAGGGAGCGTCGCCACCGAGGGCTTCTGCGGCGGAGAAGGGGCACGGAACTGCGCGCCGGTCCCTGGCCGGGCGCGATCTGGGGGCGGTGCCGGGGGCGGGGCGGCGCGCGCCCGAGCGGCTGCGGCAGTTGCGCGCTAGGATCGCTGCCGTGCGGCTGGGCCGGTGAGTGCGGCGGGACCCGCGGCGGGCGGGCGGGCGAGCGAACGGGGGAGGGAGCTGCGCAGCCCCGCACGCGACCCCGCGGCGGCCCCGGCCCCCGCCGCGCACTCGGCGCCCCTCTCCTCAGGTTCCCTCTCCTCACCGGAGACCCGCGCTTCCTCCCGCGGGCGCTGCGCCCGCATCCCTGCCCGCCGCCGACCCCAGGACGCCCCGCTACCCACCCCACCGCCCGGCAGCCCCCTCCTCCCTGCGGGGGCGACGCCCCCGGCCCGCGTCACGCTCGCGCCATTGTTTCCCGGCGTCGTCTCGGGGGACCCCGCCTTCGCCCTCGGAGCGGGCCGCCGCCGCCGCCGGGCGCGCTCCCTCCTCCGCTTCCGCGGCGCCTTTTCCCGCGTCCGGAGGCTGCCCTGCCCGCCCCGGCTCACGGCGCTCTCCGCGCCTGCTCCCGGGGGCCCTCGGGCCTCCGCCGTGGGGGGCGGCCCCGAGACGCTGCCCGCTGGGCGGCTCACCAGCCGGGCGTGCCGCGGGCAGCACTTCCTGGTGGAACGGCCCGGCGTCGCCCGAAGGCGGGCGGCTTTCCGGAGGACCCCAGTGGGGGGCCCGCCGGCTCCGGGCCGCGGAGGGAGCCGGGCGCGGCGGCCGGCCCGCGGAAGAAGGGCGTCTCGGCGGGTTTGGCTCCGGCAGGCCGCCTCTTTTTCAAAGCAGTACCAAGTCTGGCGGCCCGTTTGTTTCCTCAGCCTGGGTGGTTAGATGCTGTGCTCCTCAAGGCGGTGCTCCGAAATGACTAGTCACTGTACCTCGGTGGTGTGCACGCGCGAGCACGTCGGTGCGCGCGCCCCGGGGATTCTTCCCCATTTGTTTCAGAATGTCTATTAATTTTTCTTCTTAAGGCACCGGATGCAACCTGCTGACAAGAATGTGACTAGTTGCAACAGCGCTGTTTATCCTAAAGACTTTCTGGGTATAGGGGACACTTGAGATCTTTTACATATTCACTACAGCACTTTGCCGACGGTGTTTAAGAATTCACGCAGACGAACACCTCCGGGCTGTAAAGATTTCAGTTCAAGAAGACAGTAGTTAAGTTGGTAGTTAAGATAAAATCTTTGCGAGTACCTTCCTGAGGTGGCCAGGGGGTGGAGGGTTGTTGATAGTTGGGTTTTTGCTGGCACACATTATTTCTGATGTGCATTTCCATTATGTTCACCACCACCCTATTTCATTAACAGGGATTACTTCACTACTTTACTAAGTTAGAATTTAAAGTTTAAGAATCAACTTAGTGAAGTAGGTGGGAGGAGTGAGGGAGGATGTTCTGTAATTTCAGGCTTTTTTTGGTGGTGGTGGTGGAGGAGATTGTGCATGCTAAGCAAGTCCTCCACTTAATTTTAAGATTTGGTATCATTGTGTGAAAATGCACAATCACCTGAAGTTTGTAATTGTAGGAAGATTTATATTAGTATTTACATGTAGTGCTTGCCAGGCTTACTTACTATGCCTCTTCCTAAAGAAAGCCAGTAGCGTGTTCATTAAAGTCTTCATTGAAGTCTTTAGAACATTTCTACTGTTGTTTGGGGAAAGGAAGGAGAACAAAAAAAGTTTAAAAAAATACTTCATTTTGTGTCATTACTGGGGCTTGAACTCCAGGCCTGGATGCATTCTCACTGAAGGCTGGCACTCGACTAGTTGAGCCACAGCTCCGTTTCTTTTTTTGGGGGGGGGGGGAGGGGGGGGTGGTTGGAGGAGGGGGAGTTCCTGCAACTTGAACCTCATCATGGTCTCTGTCCCTGAGCTTTCATACTTAATGCAAGCAAGCTACAGTTCCACTTCAGGCAATTTTGGTGTTTAATTGTAGGTAAGAGACTCAGGACTTTACTGCCTGGACTGGTTTTTTATCTCAGAGCTCAGCCTCCTGAGTATCTAGGATTACAGGTATGAAACACCAGTGCCAGACCTTGTTTTGGACAAAAGTCTCACTGACTTTCCTGCTTGGGCTGGCTTTGAACCAAGATCCTCAGATCTCAGTTTCCTTAGTAGCTAGGATTACTGATGGGAGTCACACCAGAGCTTAGCTAAACATGTTTTTTTTTTTTTTTAAATTACCATCTTTTGTTTTTATGAAAGCCTTTTTATTGACTTTTACCAGAAAGTAAATTCAGTGAAATAGAAAAAAAAAAACCCTCAACAACTTTGTCATATTTTAGACTATGCTTTTGTTACTTTTTTTTAAAATTTTTTTTTAATATATTTTTTTTGGGTCCTGTCGTGGGTCCTGAACTCTGGTCCTGGGTGTTGTTCCTCAGCTCTTCAGCTCAAGGCTAGCGCTCTATCACTTGAGCCACAGCGCCACTTCCGGCTTTTTTCTTTTTGCTTATGTGGTGCTGAGGAATCGAACCCAGGGCCTCAGGCATGCAAGGCAAGCACTCTACCACTGAGCCAACTTCCTTGGCAAAGTGCTTGCCTAGCAAGTGCAACGTCCTGGGTTCGATCCCCAGTACCAAAAAAGAAAAGACAAAAAAAATACAGTTAAAAAAAAGCTTTTGTTACTTTTAATATAAATGTGTTTTTATTTAGTGATAATTGCTGTGTACATATTTTGATTTTTGCACTTGAATTTCTGGATTTTCCATGCATCTAAAAAAAGCATCTAATTTTTATTCATTGATGCTTTGTAAAAATGGCTGTAATACATAGTACTTGACAGTGCTTAGTACACAGGCTTTCAGTAAGTTTTTTTGTTGAATGAGTGTGATATTTTGAGCTTTTAAAAGACAACATCCACTAACACAAAATGTTAAATACCACAAAACATATGTTAAGCGACATGCAAGCAGTGAAAACAGCAGTTCTTTCAGCCAGAAGACAGAATTACTTATGTTTAAGGGCCTGGATTTTGTAGTCTGGGTCTGAGCTTTGGCTTGCTACTTACAGTCCGTATAACTTTCAAAAACTTAACCATAGAGATCTTTACTTTCATCTTGAAAAAAAAAAAAGGAAAAAAAATTCACAGGAGAAAATAGAATGTGATTCTGTTGATGTGTTACTGGCACATACTATGCTTTGTACAAAGGTTAGCTCAGCTCCTTGTGTTTTGTTTTTGTTTTTTTGAATGGGGATATTATAGTTTGGTATGGTCAGGGAGAACCTATAGAGACGATGCTAAAATGGATATTTTAAGAGTATAATGAATCCCAGCAACAGAAAAAATGAAGTAAGATACACATATTTTTTAATTTTTTAAAAGAAGTTATGACCTGAGGAAGTTATTTGGGTTGAGGAACTTGGTAGCATATTGCTAAATGGGTGCTAAAATTCTTGTCATTGACCCAGTAAGTTTTATGACTTCTGATCAAAATTTGTATCCTGTAATGATTTGTTGCTGAAGTTTCAAGTGGCTGTTTATGGAAAACAACCTTAGCAATAAACCAAAAAAAAAAATGGCAAAACTGTTAGCAGAGTAGCAAAAAGACTTTATATTTCATGATGAATATAGAATCAGTAAGATTAAATTGGAGAGAGACAAAACTTGTTCTTGCTCTGACTGGGAAGTATTGTCAGGTGAATAAGATGAAAGAGCCTGGCTACCAGGATCTGCTTGGATAGAGAAGACTGAAATTTGGTATTTGAAATTTGATGTCTTTAAAAAAATATTAGTATGCTTCCATTGCAAATATCCAGAGGAAACATTGTGTGTGTGTGTGTGTGTGTGTGTGTGTGTGTGTGTGATTTCTCTTTTTTTTTAGTGACTTGATTCAAAGATTTCTTAAAATATTTCAGACAATGGCATAGTGGCTTTAATGTATTTACTAGCCACCTTCTTTATCTCCCAGGCCTCTTACATACTAGGTAAGAACTCTACCACTACATTCCCAGCTCCTGTTCAGCATTTTTTGTTTTGTTTTGTTTTGTTTTGTCATGTCATGATCCCTAGCACTGAAAAAAACAACAAAAATAAAAACAAAAACTGACTTGTCTAGCAATGACTATAGCTAATCCTCATTTGTATACCTGGGATGGATGGATGGATGGATCTCACTTTTTGCCCAGCCTGGAGTGTCATCTTTATGTTGCCTTCCGTAGCTGGGTTGTTGAGATGGGGGTCTTGTAAGCTTTTTCCCCCACACTAGGCTGGGCAGAAAACAAGATTCTCTATGTCATTCATCTACACAGCTGAGATTACAGATGTATACCATGCTATCCACCTCTTGGTTACGAATGAGGTCTCATGAACTTTTGCCCAGGCAGGCCTCAAATGGTGTGATCTTTCCAATCTCCACTTTCTGAGAAGCTAGAAGAAATAGTTTCCAGGCCCTGAGATCAAGCCTAGGACTGGTACACACATGCAGGTGTGCGTGCATACACACACACACACACACACACACAATCTACAATAAATGTTGTTACTGTGTTAACATTGTTAAGGCATTGAGTTAATGCATATCGCTCTAAATTTTCACCAATTAAGTAAACTAAACTTAAAAATGAATTTGTATAATAAAAAGAAGTAACTTCGGTGATCATTTCTGCATTTCTGATTTTTTTTTTTTGTCAGTCATGGGGCCTGAACTCTGGGCCTGGGCCCTGTCCCTCAGCTCTTTAGCTCAAGGCTAGTGCTCTACCACTTGGGGCACAACGCTACATCCAGCCTTTTCTTCTAATGTGGTGCTGAGGAATCGAACTCAGGGCCTCATGCATACAAGACAAGCACCCTACCACTGGGCCACCTTCCCAGCCCCATTTCTGATTTTTTTTTAACCTAAATTTTGTAAGAGAAAAGAGCTAAAACAAAGTTCTGTGAAGATCAGGAACTCATTGGTAAGAGGGCAAATTCTTTTTGAAATAAAGTAGAATCAACTTTTAAAAAAGTATTCAAGAGTCATTACTTATTGAAAGTGTTATGCATTGGCTGAATATACAAATTGTACAGCTTTCTATCTTTGTGTTTTTGATAGACCTTAGATAATTATGAGTAGTTTGAAGATAAAAGTAGCTCATTTGAAGATAAAAGTAGCTCAATCTTTTTTTCTTTTGCATTGATGCTTAGTAGGCAGGTGCCCTACCACTTGCCATGCCCAACCTTAAGCGTTTTTATACTCTCTAGCTTTTTTTTGTGCCATTAGTCATATTATTTTCTTTCTTTTTTTTTTGCCAGTTGTGGGGCCTGAACTCTGGGCCTGGGCACTGTCCCTCAGCTCTTCAGCTCAAGGCTAGCCTAACTCTACCACTTGAGCTATAGCGCCATTTCCAGCTTTTTCTGCTTATGGTGCTGAGGAATCGAACCCAGGGTTCATGCATGCAAGGCAAGCACTCTACCACTGAGCCACCTTCCCAGCCCCAGTCATATTATTTTCTAAAGTTTAACAAGAAAATCCTTATTTTTATTAACATTTATTAGTATACATTAGTTGTACAAAGGGGATTTCATTTCCATACATGCATACAATGTATCCTGATCTAATTCAGCTTATTCTGCTCCTTCCAATAACCCCAGACTGAAGGTCTGGTATCCAAAACATTCAGTTAGAAGCAACCTGAACATGCTGATGAAAAAAGAAAGCATTCTAAGTGATTTGGCACATGAGATGTAATAAAGCTTTAATAGAATATTTAGAAGCACAACAAAATTTAGCTCTTTTCTTGTTTGTCTGTCATGGGGCCTGAATTCTGGGCCTAGGTGCTGTCCTTAGCTCTTCAGCTCAAGGGTAGTATTCTGCCATTTGAGCCACAGCTCTACTTCTGGCTTTTTCTGCTTATGGTGGTGCTGAGGAATCAAGCCCAGGGCCTAATGCATGCAAGGAAAGCACTCTACCACTTAGCCACCTTCCCAGCCCTAGCTTTTTATTTTCAAAACGTTGGAAACTCGTATTTCTAGTTTTAATTTCAGACTGTACTACTTTGTTGCTTCAAGAAGGAAAAATGAGTGAATGTCACTGCTGAATTAGTTTTAGACACTATGTTGGAAATGAACTATACAAAATGGGGGAGAGGAGCCAAGAGGATAAACATTGGGAGAAAATGAGAGATAAGGTGACACTCTTCAAAAAGAAATGTGCTCATTACCTGACTTAAGTAACTTACCCCTCTGTATATCACCTTTACGATTAAAATAATAAGCCAAAGGTGGAGAAGTGAATTGGCAGGGCAATTGGTACTTCATTTCTCACTTGACAAGATAGACTACTTCTCAACTTTATTTTCCATCAAGGAACAAGGAACCTTTTGTTCTGAGGCCTGATGTTGAAAGGTTGGCAAAATATTATTACATTAATCAGGCCAAGAATTTAATGCATTTGTTAGGTTTCACAAAAATTTATTTAGAACATTAGAAGGATTTTGTGTAATCTTGCATTTTAAAGCTTACACACAAAGCAAAAGGCTGTATAGAGGCTTAATGATTATTATATTTTTTTTGAGGTATTGGTGTTGGAATTCAAAGTTCTGCACTCTACCACTTACGCCATGCCTGGCTTTTTGTTATTTTGAAGTCCAGTCTCATAGAATTTTCTGCCCCGCCTGACTTTAAATTGTGATCCTCTGGATTTCAGCCTCAAGTAAGCTAGGAGTACAGACTGAGTCACTAGCACCCAGTATATCACAGTACTAGGGCTTGAACTCAGAGCCTAATTTTCTCCTTTGCATTTTTACACAAGGCTAGTTGGCCCTCTAGCACTTGGGCCATACCTTTGGTTAATTTATTTCTGTGTGTGTCACGTCTGCCCTGCAAGATGCTGGGGCCAGAGCAGCAAACAAAAGTCTCTTGTTATTGGGCTTCCATTTTATAGCTTGTGACTGATGGTACACAAACTGGAAATGTTACATACAAAGAAAGAAAGCAGGATAAATGAGTGGTTTATGTATCATTTTATTGGTAGTGTTTATTAGCTATGACTGGTATGCAATGGCATACTTGGGACAAATGATAAGAAGAATTCTAAATGAAAATAATGAAATGAAAACAAATGATTGAGGTTGAGGGTATAGCGTGCTTAAGGCCGTGGGTGTAACTCTCCAATATTGGAGGAAAGGAAACAGAACTACCCCAAAATGAAAAAAGTTGTTTGACAAATATGCAAAAGATGAAAAGTAATGAAATGTTTAATACAACAAAGTTTTTATAAATATTTTCTGGAAAAACTGACATTTAAAGTGTGTAATACGTTTTCTTGTATGTGTTACTTTTGAGATTAGAAGGAGCAAAATTATAAGGTGTTAGAAAAAACTGATTTTGTTGGGGCTGGCATTGAACTGTGATCCTCAGATCCTAGCTTCCTGAGTAGCTGGATTACAGGTAAGAGCCATTAATACCCAGCTCAAATTTTGTTTTTGTTTTGTTTTGTTTTTTAGTTGATTGTAGGGCTTGCAGGGTCTGGGCTCGATCTCCGAGCTCAAAGTGAGTGCTCTACCACCTTGAGCCACAGAGCCACTTCCAGTTTTTGAGTAGTTAATTGGAGATAAGAGTCTCAAGGGGACTTTTCTGTCTGGGCAGGCTTTGTACTCGGATCCTCAGATATCAGCCTCCTGAGTAGCTAGGATTGCAGGCAAGAGCCACCACTCCGGGTCAGTTTTGTTTCTGGACATATTTAAATTTAAAAAAGTTTGGTCCTCTGTGGTTTTGCTTTTAACCTTTGTTAGGAGCACAGCAGTGTTTAAATATCTTTGTTTTACCACAGCCAGAAACTTTTAGAGTTACTCTACATAGGACTCATGATGGTGATAGGTTTTTCCCTTGTGACTGATTGGGATGGAGACCACTCCCAGCCTGCGTGAACACTGAGGATTGTTAACTCTGATCCTATTTTATCCACAAGAATTAGTTGATGTGTAATTGAAACTTGTCCCTCTACAGATCTTAGTTTTTTTTTTTTTTTTTTTTGTTTTTTTTGTCAGTTGTGGGGTTTGAACTCTGGGCCTGGGTACTGTCCCTGAGCTCTTCAGCTCAAGGCTAGGGTTCTACCACTTTGAACCACAGCACAGATTCTGGTTTTCTGATGGTTAATTGGTGATAAGAATCTCACAGGCCTTCCTGCCCTGGCTGGCTTTGTACCTCGATCCTCAGATCTTAGCCTTCTGAATAGTTAGGATTACAGGCATGAGCCACCGAAGCCCGGTAGATCTTAATTTTTGTGTGTGTGCTAGGGATTGAACCTGGCCTTGTGCATGTTCAACATGCGCTCTAGTTCAGAATTATAAAATCTGCCACTTAGTTGTTCCACCTCAGCTCAGATTTAAGTATTTAAAAATAGAAAGGAGGTATGGGAGGCCTTAGCAACAAGTTATATATGAGCTACCTTCCCAGCCTCGCTATAATCCTTTTTGAATAGAAAAAGACCTTCTGATTTCTCGTCAATTTAAATTCTGATTTTTATATTTCTGTAACATATTGTCATCCCAAGTAACACATCATTGATTGTTTTGTAGTTCCCTACTTTCACATTTTGTCCATTTTTTTATAGCCCTTAAAATGGTCCAGATTTACCACATGGACTTTCTTTATGGAACAAAAAGACCGTATTACCCTTTTATATCTATGTAGCAAGCAATATTATAAAATCTATGTATTAAATATCTATATATATAGATATATAGTTATATATCTATATGGTTTTTATAGTATGTATATGGTTAGCATATGTAGTATATAGCATGTCAAATACACTATATTAATGAAGGTCCAGTTATTTTTGTATATTTATTTCAGCAGTGGAATTTGAACTCAGGACCTCAGGCTTACCAGGCAGACACCACTTGAGCTATACCTCTAGCCTTTGTAATTTCAGTTACAAATAGTCTAGTAAATAACTTCCTAAGTTAATATTACACTTCAATAGGATTTTATCTTTAAATTTTTTAGTAAAATCCCTTTTGTTCTGTAAATACCATATAGAAATCTTGATTACCTAAAATATTATGAACAGTAATATGTATAGCTAAAGAACTGCAAACTGGTACTTTGTACATTATATTCACAGAAATGCTATCCACAAAAGACAAAAGCTGGAAAATAGTACAAATATTCATCAGTAGACTGATGCCAATCCGACTAAATTTCTGATTTTTCTTTTTTTAGAATTCAGTACACATATAAAATGACAACCTCCTGGAGTGATCGGTTACAGAATGCAGCTGATATGCCTGCTAACATGGATAAGCATGCTCTAAAAAAGTATCGACGAGAAGCCTATCATCGGTAAGTATTTTGTCTGTTTAATCCTCAAAACAGCTCTGTTAAGTGGGCACAACCTTATTTTACACATGATGGAAATTAATGTACTGAGAAGTAGTTTACAACAGGTCATGTAACTAGTTTGTGGTTTGAATCTAGCTGAAAGACCATTTAGCTACTAGTATACCTTATTGCTTCTTATGTCTGTTAATAAAAATGCTTAAGAAAAGAATGTATTTAGCTGTAGAAAATTTCACCTAAGTTAATAGGAATCAATTTTTTTCTTTTCTTTTTTTTTGTCTTCCCCTTCCCAGTGTCTGTCCATATGCTAGGCTAGCTATGTATAACTGAACTATATAAGATACTTTTATTTTGGGGGTGGGGTGGGCTGGACTGGTATTGGTCCTTGAACTTAGAGCCTGGGCACCTTCCCTTAGCTCTTGCTCAAGTGGTACACTTGAACTACAGCTCTACTTCTGGCTTTTTACTGGTTATTTGGAGATGAGTCTCAGACTTTCCTGTTCAGAATTCTCAGATCTCAACCTCATCCTGAGTAAGTAGCTAGAATTACAGGCATGAGCCACTAATACCTGGCAACATTTTTAGCAGGAGAAACAAAGGATAGAGTTAGTGATGTAGTAAACATTAAGCTTCTTACAAACATCATCTAGTAAGCATCTTAATTGCATTTAATACATCATCACTTGAATATATTTCTGACTCACTTGGAATAGTATTTCCTGGAAGATTTTAGATAGCCTTACATTCTTCACATTGTAAAATACATTTTGAAACAATAGGAATAATAACATAAGCATCTTCAAGCTTGAAATTTTAGACTTTTTTTTCCCCCAAATAAGAATATTGCTATGTAGCCCAGGCTGGCTTAAACTTGTGATCCTCCTGCCTCAGCTTCCTGAGTGCTGGGTTTGCATGTGTGTACCACCTCATTTGGCACACTTAGTTTAAGTCTTTTTTTTTTTCTAAATTAAAGACATTTTGAGTTGGTGATTTGCAACTGGATAAATTAGATTATTTATGCTAATCATTATCATAAACTGTTCTTAGTTTTATGTAAAGATCTAACTTCTAGCCATTTTTTAAACTAAGTCTTCTAAACTTCAATATGGAAATGATGGTCACGTATCATTATTAAGAGCTGACTTCAGAATGTATGACTATTGTTCTTCCTTCATTTCCTTGTTATGATTGCTGTCTTCTGAGGCTAATCATCAAGCCAAACCCTTCATTAGAATATGTTTTGCTGTATAGTCAGAAGGTAGTCCAAGCTGCTTACATGATACAGTGATGTGAAGTAGTCAGGTTAGATAGTTCCTTATTTTAATAACTAGTAGAAGTATAGCTCAGAATTTATATTTGCCAAGTCAAAGGATGGAACACTTAGATTTTTCATCACCTCTTCAAATTGACTGTGCCTATGATGCTGAAATCAGGTATTTGGTTTTAACTATTTAAAGTACTTATGATTATAATATTGTAAAATTTCTGCTAGTGAATTTGCTTTTTCCTTATGAATAGTGTTTATGAACTCAGCAGTATTTTTTTTAACATATTAAATTGAAATTTAATAACTGGGCCTGTAAATTTGTTAACCAGTCTTATTTTATTTATTTATTGTTGGTCTTGAACTCAGATCAGGCTTAAACACAGGGTCTGGGTACTATCCTTGAGCTTCTTTTGCCCAAGGCTACACTCTACCACTTTGAGCCTCAGCTTCACTTTTCAAGTGGTTAATTGGAGATAAGAGTCTCATGAACTTTCCTACCTGAGCTGACTTCTAACTGTGTTCCTTAGGGATCTTAGCCTCTTGGGCAGCTAGGATTACAGGCGTGACCTGTCAGTGCTTGGATCTTTTTTTTTTTTTGCCAGTCCTGGGGCTTGAAATCAGGTCCTGGGCACTGTCCCTGAGCTTCTTTCATGCAAGGCTAGTTCTCCCACTTGAGCCACAGTACCACTTCCGGCTTTTTCTGTTTATACGGTACCGAGGAATTGAACCCAGGATTTCATGCATACTAGGCAAACACACTACTACTAAGCCACATTCCCAGCCAAAAAGTCTTCTTTTAAAATCAGATAAAAGTTGGCTGGGAATGTGGCTTAGTGGTAGAGTGATTTCCTAGTATGCATGAAGCCCTGTGTTCGATTCCTCAGTACTGTATAAACAGAAAAAGCCTGAAGTAGTGCTGTGGCTCAAAGGGTAGAGTGCTACCTTGAGTGAAAGAAAGTTCAGGGACAGTGCCCAGGCCCTGAGTTCTAGCCCCAGGAATGGCAAAAAACTAAAAACAAAACAGAAGACTTTTGTATATTTATCTGAAAATATTTTTAATCACAATTTAGTTCTCTAAACCCAACAAGTTTTAATATTTAAAGCTGTTGAATTATTTCTTCTCAAATTTAAATGAATGTATTTATGTATTTACATAAAAATGAACTTATTTACACATGTAAAATAATTCTATACTGGTAGTTTGACTCATTTGTAAATTTAGAAATGTTTGCAATATTTATAGCTTCAAAAGCAAGTTATCAGCTTATATGCACATAAACTGGCAGACAGATTGATCTCTTTTAATTTCTTTTTCTCTTTACTTAAGGATATATGGATGTTATTCATTGTATGTATATGTACACACAGAATTTATAGTAATTAAGGTATATACATACATTGTAATATAAATCAGGCCAAATAACAATAAGGTAATGATACCTACAATAATGTGGATGGCTCTCAAGACTAATGCTGAATCAGAGAAGCCAGCTATAAAGGTTATATCTGGGTCACAGATGTAGCTCAGTAGTAGAATGCTTGCGTAGTGTGGATGAAATTATTTCCAGTTCCACAAAAAGGGAGGGAGAAGGAGTAAGGGGCAGGTGAGGAGGAGTATCCTGTGTAATTTATACCAATCACTAGGAGTTGGTGGAAGAGGGATAGTCTTAACTACAGAAGGATAGTATGAGAGCTTTTTGGGGTGATAGAACTTTTCTGATTCCAGGTTGATTATTATGTCACCATAAATGTGTTAGTAGTAATGTATACCAAAAATGTCAATATCATTAAGTTTGAGAAAATAATTGCTTCTATAGACATTCTTGAGCCTATTTTTTGTGGCTATGCACTAAGTTCTCCTGATTTCTACTGCAGAATGGAATTGTTGGACCATAAAGTAAGCATATGTTTAGGTTTAGTAGATATTGTCCAATAGGGTTCCCAAACAGTGCTCTATAGTTCTACCTATGATGTATGAGAGTATTGATTGCTTTGAATTGTATGTTTAATTAAAAAGTTATTATGATACATATATAGTAAAATTTCCTTTTGGTTTGAATTTGTATTTTCCTGATGAATAATTAGGTTAGACATTTTGTTTTTGTGTGTGTTCACCTTAAGGCTTGAACTTGGGGCCTGAGTGAGGTTTCTGAGCTACTATACTCAAGGCTAGCACTCTATCACTTGAGCCATAGCTCCACTTATGGCTTTTTTAGTGGTTAATTGGAGGGAGATAAGAACCTCAGACACTTTCTTATCTGGACTGGTTTTGAACCCCTTATCCTTAGATCTCAGCCACCTAAGTAGCTTGAATTATAAGCTAGCTCTCTTCAGATGTTAATAAGCCATTTAGAGTTTCACATTGTCATTTGTGTCAACTTAAATCTTTTTTTTTTTTGGTCCAGTCATGGGGCCTGAACTCTGCGCCTGGGCACTGTCCCTCAGCTCTTCAGCTCAAGGCTAGCGCTCTACCACTTGAGCCACAGTGCCACTTCCGGCTTTTTTCTTTTTGCTTATGTGGTGCTGAGGAATCGAACCCAGGGCCTCATGCATGCAGGGCAAGCGCTCTACCACTGAGCCACCTTCCCAACCCCTCAACTTAAATCTTTATATCTATCTACCTACTTTTTTTTTTTTTTTGTCATTTGTGGGGCCTGAACTCTGGGCTTGGGTGCTGTCCATCAGCTCTTCAGCTCAAGGCTAACACTCTACCATTTGAGCCACAGCACCACCTCTGGCTGTTTTTGCTTATGTGGTACTGAGGAATCGAACCCAGGGCCTCAGGCATGCAAGGCAAGCACACTTACCACTGAGCCACCTTCCCAGCCCAACCTGCTTTTTTTTTGATATACCAAAACTTTTATTCTCAGAAAACATAAAATCAAAACCAAAACAAATAATATATATCTGGTCCCCACCCTATCCCTCCCTCCCAACCACCCACACATCCTTTTGAGGTGACTGTGATGCATACATAGGGGTGGAGCTGGAGGATCCTGTGTTCCTTGGGCAGAAAGAAGTCTTTTGGGGGCTAGGTATTCTCCAAGCTGACATCTCTTCCATCCTTGCCTACCCTCTGAACAGAGTGCAAGAGGGAAGAAGAATTCTGGAGTGCTCAAGTTCCTTGGGGAACAGGTGGCTGAGTCAGTACTACCCCCATGGCCTTTACCAGTTACAGCTCATCTTCATCTAGCTTGGCAAGTCTGGCCTGACAGGGAGGGCTATTTGGAGTTAGAAGGGCTGGAAGAGACTTGAGGAGCTTTGGGGTATCATTGAGAGCCTGTGTGTCCTGGGGTAGGGGTGCTCTGGCAACCTCCTCTTTGGGTAACAACAGCAGGGAAGGAAGAGAGCCATTGATGGGTGTGTACATGCTGTCCTGGGCCTGGTCTCCAGGCCTCATTCTCCCAGGGCTTCCCACCCCAGGAACTGCTGGCCTCTCCAGGCTGTTGGTCTGGCTCTCTCATCTCTGGTACTCATTGGGTGACTGCAGTGTGTTGAGGAAGTCTCATTGGCTTTCCAGGATATGAGCCACTTGTCCAGGCTTGACTGGCTGCAGGGTCTGAAGCCCATAGGACATAGCTCTGGATCCCACCTTCTGGCCCTCTGCAGGTCAGTGCAGAGCGGCAAGGGTCACTTGGAGGCTCCCCTCCTGTTCCAGGCAGCTCACCTTGATACTGCTTTTGTACATGTATCCCGACTGTGTACTGCCTCGTGCTCCTCCTCCCAAGGCCTCACT